CACACACACACACACACACACACACACACACGTTGAGGTTTTTTTTAAGCTGCTCCACTTCTTCAACTAGTCACATATTATGAACAAATGGCTATGGTTCTGGCCGAACATCTCAGGACATGCAGGAACATGTTTCTGGTAGCCTTCACCCTCTCGAGAGCAGCTCAGGGTCAAATACAGTGTCTTGGGCAAGTCACAGAATTATCTCCATTTGGGCAGCTGAGAGGGGAATGCCCCTAAATGGCCATTGTCAGGAGGGGTTTTGGCTGAGTCATCCTTTTTTCTGGGACTTCTGGTACAGACTCAAGAAGAAAATTTCCTTTTTTCCAGGGGGCCCAAGTAGGGAAGTGGTGCTGTGGTTGGGTGCTAGGAAGAACACTCCCAGGCAAAGCACAGGGTGGGATGTCCTTGAAGGATGTGATAACTGAGCAAGAAAGGGGAAGTCCAGTGCTCTCACTTCCTGAAAGCAGGAGAAAGGAAAAGGCCCAGGTCCCTCAGGACAGTTCCACCCCCACCCGTCTGTTTTATACATATGTGTTTTGAATTAACATCACAATCTATTTTGCAGGATGCAAGAAATTTTTTATCCCTTCTCCATTAAGAACTAGTCTAAAAACAATTAGTAGACAGATCGAGCATTCCTTTCTTAAAATAAACGGAATTTAAGAAAACCTCCACCTCTTTGTGTTTTCAGAGTCCTATTAGTTGCCAATACAGTCAGCTCTAAGTAATTCAGGAACTGATATTTCAGCATGGTAGGTTTTAATCATGCCTAGTTTTCCCTCAGCCCCTGCGTGCCACCCACGTTAGGTGTTTTCAGCAGTGTTCTGTTTAACAAAAGGATGGCAGGGAAATACAATGAGGGCTTCCACTTTTTCCTTAAATGAACAACTGGTTATTTGTCTTATTAACAGTGTGTTAATGCTTACATCCATCACAGCACAAACTAGAACCTCGGCCTGTCTAGCCCCTGCCAGAAGGATGCCTTTCTTGTCAAATCCGTGGCCTGAACTGCCTGGTCAGTTCCTTTGTGCCTGGCAACCTGTGGATTTCTCAGATTCCTGGCAGTGGAGACCTCTCAGCTGGACCCACATCTGCCGGACATTCTCTAGCCTTAAGGGTGATGCACAGCTGGCTGCTTGGCCTTCCACTGCCAGGAACTGGAACTTTTGTTTTCAAAGGAGCCTGATTTCCCAGAGGAATATTATCCCTCTTGTCATCTGGGGGGAGGGGCATGATAAGGAGCAAACAGTGACCCAAGACCTCAGCTCAGGGATTAGCAACTGTGGAGAGTTCAGATTTTAGGGTCCAGCCTTCTGGAGTGGACTACACATGCACACAGGATGGCTCTCATCCATATTCACTCCTTCTCCTTCTCGCTGCCCCTCTTAGGAAGGTAGAGGGAGTAGCAATTCAAAATAGCTGGGTCCTGGAAAGGCCCACAGGTTGCCAGGCAGAACCTCCCATGTCCAGCTCTGGAGAGTGAATGATGCTGGTAGCCTCTGCTGATGCACACAGGCTAACACTTCCCCGTTGGCTTGCGGAACGCACAGAGGGTTTGCTCACCTGCTCTAGGTGATGGATTCCCGTCTAGCCCGTGAGCCTGTGAGATTCAGCTCTTCCTTTCCCTTTCTCCCTCTTCCAAGCTCCAGAAACATCCAGTTCCTTCTGGGGCCCATGCCTCCCTTTTTCTAAGGCCTTCAATAGTGCAAGTCTACCTTTCTGAACATGTTAAGGAGGGACATTAGTTGGTGTGGAGCCATTTAGGAACTTTCTACCAGAAATGGCTCCCAGCCTGCATCACTGTTCCCTCCCTCACAAGGAGCTGCACCCCAGCCCCGGGGCACCCCAGCCCAGGGGCACCCCAGCCCACGCCTCCTTGACTTCCTTGCCTTTTCTCATTCTCCTCCACGAAAAACCCTTCTGAGACCTTTTCCACTCTGCAAAGTACACAGTAGCTGGCCTCGTGGGTAAAGGCCTGATCGCCCCGCGGCCGCCCCAGACTTCAGCATTTGACCCGTTTCCCATACGCATATTCTTATTGTCTCAGTAACTCAAGTTCAGTTTTCAGGACCTACCCTGGGTCCTCACAAGAGACAGTCAACTCTGAAGAAAATACGGTGCCAGCCCTGGGCGACTCGTTTGTTTATTTTAAACAGTCCACTAAGCCTCAGGGTTCAAACCCCCACAATCACCAGTGGTTTACAGTGACTATTCCTCCTCTTCCCTTGACTCCTGCCATCCACTTCCTCTCCTGGGGCCAGTCACCGTCACTTCTGTGCTTCCAGAGACTTGTCGCAGACGGTGAAGCCAGTGTCGTGTGCAGCCCCCACTGTGCTTGACCCTGTGTCCACACCTCTACCTAGGTCAGCATGTGAACAACTGCTTCCTCCCTTTTAAGCTGGGTGTGATGTTCCTTGGTAAGGTCACACTTTGGTTCACTTAACTAGTCTTGTCCGTGGACAATTAGGTTGGGACTCTGCACACTTGTAAACTGGGCTCCACTAACCACCTTGTCTGCGGATTATTTCCAACGTGAGACTGGACCTGCTGGCGCCTCCGGCATCCGGAAATGAGGGCCATGCCCGTTCTACCGGTCCAGGGCACCACCATGTAATTGTATCTGAAACTGCTTTGGAACGCACCACCGCCATCATTTAGGAGGTGACGAGACGCCCAGGGAGGCTGTCACTAGGCGTCAAGACCTCAGCTCCAGGGCCTGGCCAGGGCGTCATTGGCGGTAGCCATGAAGCCACGGCAGAGCCTCACTGACTGTGCCCTGCACATCATTTCTAAAACGGGGTGTGAACAGGAGCAGCTCCATGGGTTCCAGTGTGTGAGCTATGGCGTGTCCGCCTGGAAAAGCGCCCAGCAGAGATGCTCTCAATAAATTTTTACTGCCATATAAAGTGTCAGACGCCCAGGAGTGCACTCACGCACCTCCAGGACCAGCACCAGGCTGCTGGTGAAGAGACTGCCCACCGGGCGTCTGCATCCGCTGGCAGAGGGGGTGAAAGAGCCCCAGCCTGGGCAGGGCGGGCCCTGGAGGGGAGGGCTGTCCCCACCGTTGCTCAGTCGGGGAGCCCAGAAAGAAGACAGCCTGTCATGTAAGAGATCACTGGGGTGAGGCTCTCTGCAGGCGAGCAGGACTGCTCCTGAGCTGGAGAACATTGGGCGGAGGAGGTCAGGACAGGTCAGAGTTGTCACTGTTTCCTCAGTGTCACTAACTCCTCTGACATTTTTGTCCAGGTTTTTGTTTAGCTTTTTTTTTTTTTAAACTATTTGGGAGCTTCTAGCACTGGCACCAAGCAGAAATTCAATCCAAAAGTCCTAGAAGCTTGCATCTGTTCCATGCAGTAAATACTGATGTAAGCATCTGTAGAAACAAACACGACTTTAAGGTGTTTCTGTCCTTTCCCACTTTCCGAATCTTTACTGCCTGAGATCATCTGGCCTCTGCTCCTGAGCCCTTTCTCACCCTTTTCTCTAAGTTTGCTTGTCTCCCTCGGCCTTGTGTTCACTGCAGTGACAAAACCCCACTTGTGCCAGGCCGAGCCAGCCTGCGCAAGGGCTTGCAATGCCCCTGGCTGAGCCACGGCCAGCAGGGACAGGCCCAGACGTTCCTCCCAGCATCTTCAGAACAAGCCTGTCCTCTCCCTTGTCCCATCTTGATCCTTCTCCCTACCCACCGCCCCAGCTGCTGCTCAAGCGAAGGACAAACATGAGCGATCTAGTCAGAGGCCAGAGAATGGCTCTCTGGATGTATCTTCATGACATTTTGATTCTTCTAAATGATTTAGAACACCCCGCTCAGGTCTGGCCTTGCATAACCCCGGCTGCACCAGCTGACCAGAGCAGTGCTGGCTTGCCCCTGAGTGGTGGTGGACACTGTCCTCCCATGGTGCTGCCCCTGAGCCCTGCCGGGAAGGCCGGTGCCAGCTGCTCCTCCGCTCTGCCCCCTGTCCACAGACTCGGCACGGTGCCCAGGCAGCGGGCGTACACACTTTCTCTCCTTTTATTCTTTCCCCCTGCCACAAGACTAAAATTCATGGGCCCTGGTTAAGATACATTCTTCCTGGCCCTCCCTGGTGGCGCAGCGGGTTAAAGCGCAGCACTGAGAATCTGAAGCCACTTCCGCATGAGTTCGATTCCCACCTGCCGCCTGCCCCGGAGGAGACCACATGGCGAGCCAGACCTCTCCTGACCCGCCCGCTGCTCCCCTCAGCAGTGTACTTCGTCAATCTGCCTGTTCTGCTCCCCACTCTGTCTCTGGTGAAGCCTCTCACCACCCCTGAGCCTCTGGCCTGTACCCCAGTTCTGTATGAATAAATAAATAAATCTTTAAAAAAAAAAAAAGATACATTCTTCCTGCTGCATGGACAGGAAGGACGTAAAGCTCAGCTTCTCCCGGGAAGGGTCCTGTCAGCACAGGCAGGCGCTCCATGGAAGCGGGCCCGCGTGAACCAGGGACACCAGCTAATGACGGCTCTCTGCTTTCTTCTCCAGGTCTGTCCATGCAGGGAAGGGGCTCCAGGAAGCCCCCCCTTGGCTAGAGCCCCCCGGCAAGGCCTATTCAAACCCCATTTTGTTACAAGTCACTCCTGAAGCCGCTTGAGAAGAATGATGTGACAGCTCCTATCAAGATGATTTTTGGAAACCTGTAACATCTGCAGAGAACGTGGCCTCTTTTCCCCTTTGGCCAAACAGACGTTCTCAAATTCCAAAATGCCAGCCAAGACCCCAATTTACCTAAAAGCTGCCAATAACAAGAAAGGCAAGAAATTTAAACTGAGGGACATTCTGTCTCCCGACATGATCAGTCCCCCCCTCGGGGACTTTCGCCACACCATCCACATCGGCAAAGAGGGCCAGCACGATGTCTTTGGAGATATTTCCTTCCTTCAAGGGAACTACGAGCTTCTGCCGGGCCACCAGGAGAAAGCGCACCTGGGCCAGTTCCCTGGGCATAACGAGTTCTTTCGGGCCAACAGCACCACCGACTCCATGTTCCTTGAAACGCCCTCCCCCGTGCTCAAAAACGCCATCTCCCTCCCGACCATTGGGGGGTCCCAGGCACTCATGCTGCCCTTGTTATCGCCGGTGACATTTAACTCCAAGCAGGAGGCCTTTGGGCCGGCAAAGCTGCCCAGGCTTAGCTGTGAGCCTGTGGTGGAAGAAAAGGCTCCAGAGAAGAGCAGGCTGCTGGCCAACGGGAGCAGCCCCCAGGGCGATGTCTTGTGGGGCTCCAGCGGCTCAGCGTCCCAGTCCAGCCAGGACAGGAACAGCCACTCGTCCAGCCTCTCCGAGCAGTGCCCCGACTGGCCGGCAGAGGACATGTTCGAGCACCCTGTCCACTGTGAGCTCGTCCAGGGAAAGACTGGGTCCGAGGAGTCCCTCTCTGATCTCACTGGCTCCCTCCTTTCCTTGCAGCTCGACCTAGGGCCCTCGTTTTTGGATGAGGTGCTGAATGTCATGGATAAAAATAAGTAACAGGGTACCAGCTCTTTGGCTTTTGGGGTAAAAAGTATCCACAAAACTAACCATGGGCAAGAAGAACGTCACTGGCTACACTGTAGTCGTGATGGTTTTTTGAAAATGTTCCTATGAGGTGTTTTGTTTTGTTTCATTTTTTAGACCTGTTATGCTTTGTTTGCAAAAAGTTAAAAAAAAAATTGTCCTGGCAGAAAGAGGAAGTGAGCCAGTCAGAGTCATTTTCGGCGAGCACTGCTGACCTGCAGCTCCCATATTCTGGACTGGCCAGGATCAGCGCGCCATGAAGGGCTGCAGGAGTCAAGTCACGGAACTTGAAGTACTCCGACGTTTTGTGAGCAAGAGGAAGTCAAAAAATATTTAACAACTAAGCCTTTTTTCTAGACTCTTTTCTACATTACACTGTTTGGGCTCACCATAGCAAATTCTTCAGTGTTAAAAGATTTTTCTCTGTTTTCACATTGGAACAACTGTATGGGTTTTTTGGGAATTTTCTTGCAGCTCTTATATATCCCTATATATTATATCTATTGGCAAATTTTTGACCGTCAGCTACATGTTGGTAAGACACAAGCAAAGTATTACTGTAACTAAGTTATTTTTAAAGTTAAAATATATTTTTATGTGCCTTTGGCTTTTTATTGCAGAGTCTACATTTTATAGATATCACATCAAATGTCATTTGACTTGTTCCGTTGGGGTTCCATTATAAGCTGTGTTACGTGTGTGTTTGAAAAAGTATATTCGTACTTATCCTTGTTTATTTCTTCATCTGTTATCATACTTCTCACAGCAGTCAACAACGGATTGTAAAGTGTAAAGGCACAGGTCGCTCGTGATGCTTCTGCAGAGACTGTGGGCTCCCCACGTAATGTTATTTGGAAATATGGGTATTTTAGTACAGTGCATACTTGCATTACATAGGTACTTCATACAACACAATAAAGAGTAAATGTTAAAATGATGTTGCTTGTTTATACTAATAAGCAAAACCATCAAAGGATGATATTTTCCTGAAGTCCAGGGCTAGAAAAATTGCTTCTCAAAAAATATACACAAGTCTACATGGTAAGGGAAGAGGTAATTTCCCACCTCTGTATTTTTAATTTCCCAAAGGTTTGAAATTGCAGATACAGAGCTCCTCAGTTTTTTTAAAAAGATGTATTTATTTATGCATACAGGCCAGAGGTGCAGGGGCTGTGAGAGGATTCACCAGAGACAGAGTGGGGAGCAGACCAGGTCGACTGACAAAGAACACTGCTGAGGGGAGCAGCGGGCAGGCCAGGAGAGGTCTGCCACGCCATGTGGGTCACTTCCATGGCGGGGATCAAACTTGCAATGAAGTGACTGCAGCAGGTTTGCAGTGCTGCATCCCAACCTGTTGCGCTGAGCTCCCCAATTTTAAGAAAAATGAACATGTGAGATCAGAATTTTGTTTTTTAAGTCAACACTAATACCATACTCATTTCTGTGCATTTCCTCCCTTTTAACCTACTTGATGTTAAATTCTTAGACCTCAGTGACACCACCGTAGAAGCCAGGTGCCATAGAGACAAGCTTAGGGGGCAGACAAAGGGGAAGTTCTGAGTCCATTTCCCTGCAGAGCCGGAGATGCCACAGAGAGAAAGAAGCAGGCCGAGTCCGTGCTACCTTCCTTCCCATACCACCGTGCGTCCCCATTGGCGAATCCAGCGGCAGGCACCTGTGAGCCACACCCCTGAAGACCGGGCAGTGTTGATGTACAGTAACTTTCATTTCTCCCTGAAATGACTTCCTACCCCAGCACATCAGTGATTCTCTCACAGTGTTGGAGCTGTGGAATTCTATCTTCCGATGGTCTGCAGGAACCTTTGAGTTACAGGTAGAACACAGTGGGGATGACTTGCCAAGCAGCAAAGGAAGTTCCTCTGCGTGCCTGCTCAGTTTCCCGCCGCGGTTCATGTCCCAGGATCCTCAGTCTGCTTTTTCTGTTCAGCCGCACCCTGCAGGCATCTATAACTTCCCACCCTCTTCTCCATCTTGGGAATGAGGAAGAGTCCAGCGTGTCTTAACTTTTAGCCAGACGTCTTCAACACTTTACCCCATCTTAATTACTGATCATTCTCCAATTTCACTTTCTCCCAAGGCACAGCTAAGGCAAAGTGTAAACTACAAGGTCAACAATGAGGAATGTCTGTGTGTGTTCCTGTGTGACAGATATGGAGACGGCTCTGCCAGCATTGCGTTGTTTGAAAGAATCTCAGTAGTAAAGCATCTTGCACTTTTTTACCCATTGTTCTTGCTCCAAGCCCTTCCATGTGCATTCCCCCACTTCAGTGAGGTAGCAGTGAGACAGCAGCAAACTGGCTCCTCTTGGAGCGGTAACAAAGCCACACCTAGCTTAGCAATCACTTTGTTGGGTCTCATTTCTCACTTTGCAGGCCTTCTCTTGCCTGGTTGCTTCTCCAGGGAGCAGGTGCAGAGCTGATACTGGCTTTCTTCTGCAAAAAAGATTCCTTTGACTTCTACCTACTCCCACTAAGTGCCGAATAGGTGTTCTCAGGTTGAGAACATTCTCTCACTTTTAACCTACTGTATCTTCACTTGTTTAAATACAAAGAAACCCGAGACACACTTTATTTGCAAATTCAGAATGATAAAGCCACAAAGCCAAAGTGACCCACAAAGCAGAAGGTACCGGGCAATTTAATGGAAGGCCTTCTTACTGGAGGAGGCAAGTTCTGGGCAGTGAAACCCAACAAAGGCCAAGATATGTTACTTCTATATAAAACTACCTGCTTAAAAAAGATCAAAACATCAGTGTCCTTAACGTTTCACAAACATAGAGTCCTTCATAATCACATTTCAATGAAGTCACTGACAAAAAATACAAAAGATGAAACTATTGCTAGTTGAACAGAGAAGAACCCAGGTATCAAGAATCACAGTCAATTCCTTTTTTATGTTACTGCGTTGCCATTTTTAACTCAAGCCTTCCTGCAAACACTTGGAGTTATGGAATGGAGGGAGTCCATAAGTGAAGATGATAAATACTTTAAAACAGACAAGAGAATTATATATTGGTGATGGTTTTGATCCTTTATTAATGTACAGCCTGGTGCAACTAAATTAGTGTGAAATATATAAGCAGAATGGAATGAGTCAACATGATTTCTCTCCAAAATGAGTGACCCCTTTGGAAATTGTTACCAACTTAATCTTCATTTTAGCAGTGCTCATCAACAAAACTCTCAGATAGTAGCATTAGTCAACGACACTAACACAAATGATGGATTTCTTAGACAAGTCAATAAGCCATATTAATTGGGTTATTGGATACATCCCTGTGTCTCCACCTGTATGTGTAGGCTAGATACAGCAAAAAGAAGTAAGATGACAAATGATAGGCTGCCCTTGACTAAGATGGGTAATCCTCTGGTTAGTTCCTATAGGACTCAGGAACATCACTGGCCTAGGTTCTGCCTTAGAGATGCTTCGTCTGGATGTATACCATTTCATCCCACCAGAGTTCCACCTCAGATTGTTTCAGTTTCATTTATGCTTATTAAATAGAGCTTATTAGGGCGCTTTCTGATGGCACAACCAGTTAAAGCACCGCATTATGAAGCTTTCCAAAGCCATCGTAGCACATGTTCCGTCCTCCTCCAGGGAGCTGACCCACATGGCATGGCAGACTTCTCATGACCCGTCCACTGCTCCCCTCGGCAGTATATTTCCATAGAGCTGCCTGTTCTGCTCCCTACACTGTCTCCTGTGAATCCTCTTACCCATCACACCTCTGGCCTATACCCTAGTTCTGTAAGCATAAATAAATAAAATCTTTAAAAAAAAAAGAAAAATTATCTTATTAAAAGTAGACCTACATTTTGAATTGTCAGGAATCATTATTCTGCAGTACGATGCTACAAAGAAAGCCACGTGAAAGAATGGGGACGAGGCTTATTTTTCTATTGTGACCTATATTGCAAGGGAGTCTGTTTTGCAACTACTGTGCTGCATTTAATTATCTTCCATTTTTACTTTAAAAATCCAATAGTGAATTTACATCCATTGTCTTCCAAGGGAGATCAATAATTGTCATCTTTGAAGAGCAGCCCAATTTCTTTCATGGAAAGAAGACTGACATGGGAGAGAGATAAAAAGAGCAACTGCCCGAATCACAGCCACTCAGCAGAATGGAGTTAATAATCCAAGATGACACATGGAGAGAGGCCTGCCATACATCGACATCAGCAAGGCTGAATACATAAAGCAAGTATCGTGGCACCATGAAATTATTCATGGAGTAAGTCATAGGGCATTTTATGAGCCATTGCCAGAAGATGGCAAAAAAGAGCATTGAGTTCTGGGGAGGGGAAGATGGATGGCTTTCAATATGCCTTACAGGCGGAGTTCATTAGGGCCTTAAAGGACTGGCAAGTATTTTTAGGGCAGAAGAGGGTAAACTCAGGGAAGAAGACAACCAGCAAACAAAAAGATACAGTACAGCCTAGTAGGGTTTCGACCCAAAACAGCCCAGGCAGAGGTACTGGAATAGAAAATGCTTAGTTCCCGGCTGGACTGAATTGGGTCCACACCTAAGAAATCCCCACCAATGGAAGAAGAAAAGATTTGTCATCTGAGACCAATGAACAGGTGGCTTCCAGAGGTAAAAAAATTTACGTAAAGTGCTCTTTATAATAATGTGTATTTTAAAGTAAGTCACTAGAATCCCCCAAAACACAGAAACTTTGAAAAGACTAAAACATTAAAATTATAGATTGAATCTTTCAGAGTAAGCAGTAATGTTCAGACAAGACAGTAATCAGGGATGTTATTAAAAGTGGGTGAAGAAAGTTGCTAATTATCTTCTACCCCAACTCATTGTATAAAAATTAAATTGGAATGGAACTAAAAACAAGAAGCAAAACATTTATGGTGCTCTGGCCTTGGATTTTTCACCATAAATGGCAAGAAGGAAGAACAGATAAACACAATCTTAGATATTAGATTAGTATCCAATAAAGTTTCCCCCTCCTAGTAACAGACCATGGCTCCTGTGACCAAATAAAGCTCTGTTTGTGAAGATTCCTTCTGCAGTAACACCATTCTTTTTTTTTTTTTTTTTTAAAGACAAAGCTGTGGGTTCACTGTTGATGTAAATTGCTATATTTCAGCACAGTCAACACTCTGAACCCATGAGTACATTGTAATCAGAAGTGTTAGGTAACAGAGAAAAAGCTGTGTCATTATAGGAGAATTTGGAAGAGGGACAGAAGACATTCCGACCAGACCCCACACTCCTGCAGATGGCTACAAGCAGGACAAGGGATGGCAAGTGAAGTGGCTTTGAGGAACAAACTGCCCTCCCTTCCAACCTCTCAAGAAATAGGAATACAGCAAAGACACTCCCCTTTCCCTACCCCTGAGCCTCGGAGTTTTCCCTGTCCTGGGAGACTCCTCAGCTTCCCAGCCTCCACCCTCTCTCTTCAGGTGCCAAGACAAGGCCACAGGAGAATATGAAACCAGCAGTCGGGAATGGTTCCAAATCCATGTAGATGTGCCCAGGAAAGACATCTCTGGGTCTCTTTGCCTGTCTAACAAGGTCTATCCTTGTAGATCGATTCCACTATGAAAACACCAAATAGCATTATTACATGAGCAATATACCTGTTAGTAGGCTGCATAATAACCCAAAGACATCAGGCTAATTTCTGGAACCTGAAAATGTCACCTTCTTTGAGAAAAGGATGTTAATGAAGATGATCAAGAAAAAGACCTTGAGATAAAGTTATACAAGATTGTCCCTAAATATAATCACAGTTGTCTTTGTAAGAGAGAGGCAGGCACAAGACTGGTGTGATGTGACCATAAGTCAAGGAGTGTGGGCAGATACCAAAAGTCAGAGAAGGAAAGGAACAATCTCCCTCGGAGTCTCTGGTAGCAATGTGGTCCCCTGACA